GATAAATAAAGGTGTTGCATTCAGTCAAAAGGATCACAGTCGCAGAGTTCAGCACATTTGTAAATGAATGAGAGGCTATGAACTGCAGCACCTCCTGTGTCATTGTTAGTGGTTCTATAATAAATCAAATTCAAACAAATAGTCAAATCATTCAGAATCCTTTGAGTTTAATATGCGAGCATATATGTCTAAAATATTTCCTAAAACAAGACTGTCAAAGAAGTAGATTGGATATCACAGTAGGTGTTGGAACTATTGAGTTTTCATAGTTTATTCCTGAACACATTCACATATTAACACAAACTAATCTGCTGACGCAGCCGCTTGCAGGTAGCTTTCTGCTCATTGAAATAAACTACAATACAGACAGACAGACAAATTTTAAATTCTTGAAGCAAAATTTGCAAGCAGTATTAAAAGGTTTCAGATGTATTTTAAGATTTATATCTGTTGTAACTGTTAGTACAATGGTGAATATAGTTGGGGTTCTACTGTTACCACCTAATACTGCAATTGTTAAACATATACTGTATGTTGTACCGTTGATGTGGTTGTTGGGGTTACTCACAGGTTCAGTCTTAGCGTTTTTACATTGAAAATACATGTATATGCTGTATTGATGTTAGTGGTTTTACAACAAATTGACTACATATTTTTATTTATTTATGGAATAGTTTGTCTAACATATTACATATGTTTTAGATATTGTTAAGTCATACTGTTAGACTACACTGCAATGAGGGGGAAAAACTTTTTTTTCCTAATCAAAAGAAGCACAATGTGCTCACAACAAGCTATAGTAAACTATTTTTTTATATATTCAACTGAGTAATTTTGTTTAGTAAAATAGCCCTACCTACTTTCTGTTTTTAAAATAATGTGATACTTGGTGTACTGTAATATACAATATAAAATTAATAAAAGTCTAAACAGTGTACAACTTAAGTTCTATAATTGGAAAAAGATTGTCCCAATGGGCTCAGCATTGTCTGTAATTCGAAACCAGGCATTTTCTGGCAACAGCCCTAATGCTTCCGCACACCTCATTAAGCATTCACCTGGCCATTTTACAAAGAAGTACAACAGAATATTTTTAAAAAGCTGGCTGGATCTGTGTATTACTTTGGGTTTTTTATGAATTAAATTTAAGAATCAGCCTTTTATGAGAGATCTTATCTGAAAATCTAAAGACTGTATATCATGTTGTATGTAGTTTTGTCTATTGTTTTTACTTGCTCAAACCATTCTAGCAAATTAAACTGTTCTAAATCATTTTTTGCTTTATTGTAAAATGCAGTTGTATTAGTATTCCTCTAATTTAGCTCTAGGTATTACTTCTGAAACGTTAGCTATGACAGTAAAGTAAGACTGGTCATTTCAGAGGTTCCTGATTCTGTGTTGTTTTACTTTTATGGTATTACATTTGCAATATCTAATCCTTTGGTAATGCTCCCATTTCTTAGCGAGAGGTGAGAATTTCTAACTAGGGGTCTGTAAATCCCTAATTTCCTTGAGTATGATAAAAACTCACATCAGGACCTGGTGATTGTTTCTTAGTTGCCCTAGAACCTGTAGAACCCCGTTGTCACTTTTATTTAAATTACTGAATACTAATGGAGCTCATTTTGTCACATGGGGCATATTATTGATATTTTCCTATGCAAAGCATTTATTTAGGCTATTCAATAGTCCTTTATCCTCTTCTACTATTAATTCCCTATTATTAACTGTTTTTGTAGTACTGAAATATTGAAATATTCTTTTCTCTCTGCACTTCAGACTTATAATTCTAATTCTAGAATTCTAACTCTTTTTAGCTGTTCTTGAAATATGTATACTCTTTCTCTTTCTTTGAATCTTGGGACCTTTCACTCTGTAGATTGTTTTCTTTCTACCATTTTTAATATCTCCATTAAATTACTTAGACCATATTTTCTTTTACTTGAACTTATTATATGAAATAAGATTTGAGCCTTTAAATTAAAATGTTAAACTATGACCATCTCTTTTATTAAATTTTTATCCATCTGTTTCCAGTTGCCTATAAGCTCTAACTCATTCTAATTTTTTAAACCCTAAATTATTTACACGCATTTAATTTCTTAGAGGCTCTATCACATATTATCAGCCATATCAATTCCATCTTCTGTGTTCCCCATCACACTATCACAGTATATACAGTATGTGGAAAGATGAAATCCCCTTATAATATAACAGCACCTTTGCTTTATAATGTACCTTCATGGTGTCATCTTATAGTAAGCTATAAGCTATTTTTGTCGATGTCTGCAGCAGGTGGTCTATAGTGACACTTCATTGTTGAGACCTTAGAATTTTTATTTTCCTGGTTAACCCACATAGATTCTGAACTGCCTGTACCCTTTAACTTCAGTGGTTATTTGCTGTTTTACACATTGATTGTATTAAATATTGCCTAAATTGTATTTATTAATGTTTGACAAGTGTGGGATTGTTGTTTAATGCATGTTGTGTGTTTCAAATAATATTTTCTTTGTCATGGAAAGAATCTGATTTTAGTTTTGCTTTGGTCTTTCAGTTTGTGATCCAGTGCTGGGTGACCATGGATCTATGGTAAGGACATCTTTTGATCTTGTGTTTCTTGTTGTGTAAATTACTGTATGTATTCACATCACCTAAGAGTGAGATAAGATCACAGCATAAAACTGCAAAGGAACAAGTAATAGGTTTATTAGAGAAGAAAGGAAACATAACATTTCGGCTGTGGAGCCTTCTTTGGGTGTGAATAAG